GTCATCCCAGTGGCAGCAGAGGAACTGTCTATGGAATAGTCATTGGTTTCTGACAAAGCCAAAGAAGACATTGATTCACGTGACTGGGTACTCATCAAATCACTGTCGTCCTGGTCAAAGCTCAAGGTCCCTGGTTCTCTGTCGTAAATGAAGCAGTTATTTACTCTCAGCTTTCCTAGGTCAGCCACTAAGATGTCTGTAGTCTTAGAGCTGACGTGGTAGCAGAATGATTGGAGAGTCTGCATTGATGTCCTGTTTGATTCTAGATCCTCTGGTAGCCTTGTCTGTCACCTATAATAAACATAGAAGATGGTGTCATACATTTTGGGTGAATTAAAAAAAAATGACCAAACGCATATTTATCAACCCACACTAAAAATACAGGCAATGCAAATAGATTTCTATGTCTCAGCATATGTCTTTAGATAGTGTCTAAATGCCTGTCAAATATCTCGTTGATATCTTAATTAACAAAAAAGTTATGCCCAAAAATGATGCTAAAATTGTCAGGAATGCAACACCTTTTTGTGACATTTTGAAATTTCAATATTTTTTGGAGATCTGTGAAATAAAAAATAATGCTTCATGTTGAAAATAAAGACTTTCCTGATAATATTCAAAGTATTGAGTTTAAATGTGGACTGTCATAACTTTTGTTTAATCAAGTTGTGGTCATGGCTGGTGTTTAAAAAAATGTTATACCATGTCAGGAGTGCAACAGAGTAGTGTTGCCAAAAAAACATCAATTGTAAAATTCTGATAGAAAATTAAGACAAAAAAGAATTTTGGAAGTGTAAAACAATAACTGATATACATTTTAAAACTTAAAAATGTTATATAAATCACAAGCAGTATTAATGAGAGTCAAGTACATGTACTAGTATATGTGCATACCCAAAAATGTCAGGAGTGCAACATTTGATGTTTTGCTCCCAAGCATGAAAAAACTGTTATCATTATATGATTTTCTGATTTTTATTTTGGAAAATAAAGACGCAAGGAACATTTTTACCAAATAGATTTATCAATTACAGGATCTCTCTGTGCTTCAGATCCATATTTCTATGGTCAGGAGTGCAACACATTTTTTAAAAGATTCAAGTTGTGTGACAAAAAGACTTCTATTCATGCTTAGAAGTATTCATTAATTAATAATGATCTTTTTGTATAATTTAATACTAAATTATTGACAGTTTTATTATTAAAATCCTTCCTTTTTCAATTTTATCAATTCAGATGTGTTTTTATCTTTTGGTGATTTTTTTTAATGAACATTAAAAATAAACACACTAAAACATTGTCATAAAATTCAAGTAATTCCTCCTCAACTTCACCGAAAGAACAGAACAAGATCTTATGTAATTATCACTTCACAATTCTACTTTAAAGGCCACAATGCTTTTGGTCAGGAGTGCAACAAATATGTTAGAATTATAAATCATCCAATAAGAATAAAAATAAAGAAAAAATGATGAGTAGAATTTTTCTGGTGGGTTACTGTGTTTGTCTTCTAAAGGAAAATATGCTTTAAAATATATTTATCTTCTAAATATACATTTAAGCTAGTTTTTTGGCATAAAATTGAGTATAATTCCAGATAAAATGCGAATTTTAAATACTTTCATCTGTTTTAATTATGAAGTATTGGACTATAAGTAATGCACAATTTCATTACCACTTGATGTTGCCTACACTTTATGAATTTTTGTGTTCTATGGTTTTAATTTTAAACTTTACTGCAGTCAGGAGTGCAACAAAACTGCTTCATAATTACCGATGCTTTTTAACTATCTTTACTAAAAAATAAGTTGAAAAAAATGCTTGATACTATTTGATGTTCAAAACACTATGTCTATCAACAAATTACAGAAATTCTCTAGTCAATTCAGGAAATAGTTTTCATCATTTCACATATATTTAAATACAATTTATATATACTGCACTTTGCAAATAATCATGTTTTAGGGTCTTCAAAATATGAAAAACCTGCTGTAAATGATGAAAAATATCAACACGACAAATTGATTTACAAAGTAAGAATGGGTTATTGTGTGTTATAATTTTTAAAACAATGTTAAATAAAATACATATCAGATGTCAGGAGTGCAACACAATAATGTAACATAGGGTCACTTCAAAATCTAGTATTTTTTGTAAGAGAACTCGTATATAACAATTCTTTTTTGGCTTAGATTTAAAGAATTGACTTGAACAGACAAAAAAGTGAATTTTGGGGAATTTTATTGTTTCAAATTTTTTTCATATTATAACTTTTCAAACCAGAATTGAAAAAATAATGTAAAATAACAATCAAAAAGCCAATTTTTTTGTCACATGTACAAGAGAAGATACTCATTTATTGTTTAGATTTAATTATTTATACCCCTTTTACCATTTTGAAGCATAAAAAACTATAATTTCTTGTGATTATGTATCTTAGAAAGTCTTTTAAGGTGTAATGATATTTTCTTTTTTCAAAAGAAATTTTACTAATAAAAATTCTGAAACTTTTTAATCCAGTTGTCTATTCTATTAGCACTTCAGGATTATAAACTAGAATGCATTTGCAATATGATGATATAAGTGAAAAATATGTTATAAGTATAGTTGAATTTTGCCAAAAAAAATAAGTTTGGTGGTCATTATTTTTGAATTCACCCTTTTGTCCTATTTTAGCAAATTTAATGTCAACTTTGGCCAGAAGCTATATGATGAAAATATATAAAAGTTCTATGGTTTAAAATGTACTTATCTATATCATATAAAATTATATTTTGGTGACATTTATAAATCAGCACACTTTCAAGATAAATGGTGTCAAATATAGGAATTCCACTACAATAAGCTAAATTAAATGTACAGTTGCGTATTAATTATTATTATACCTCATTACAATTATTCTATACAATACGTCTGATTGGTTCTAGATTATCATGTGACTGGGCCATAAATCTTCATATTTCCCTGTCATTGTCATGCTTTTCATCATATTCAACCTATTTGGAGACTTAGTGCATTTTCCTGCAATAGTTATCATTAGTTCTACGAAAACTCCAGAGAGTAGTAGACATCACAATAGCCTGGTTCACGTCAAAATATTGCTGATTGTTTCATTGGAGTGTGATGTGTCAAGTAACTTTACGATAAAAGAGTATTGAAAGTGAATTTAAGAGTGGGGCCGCATTTGAAAGTTTGTGTTTATTTTAAAAGTTTTTGCATGTTTTGGTATAATAAACAATTTATTGCATGAATGTTTGGGAAATATGAAGATTTATTCAGCCAAGAAATATCATATTCCCCTCCGGCAAAGCCCTCAGGGAATATGATTTTTTCTTGGCTGAATAAATCTTCATATTTCCCTCACGATCATACAATAACTGTATAATATCCAATATGATTTATAAGTGTCTGGTGTTTTTTTAATTAAATCTTGTACCCTTTTTCTAGCAGAGGCTGCCCGATACCTTCCTAGAACATCCTGAATCTGTAGGAAGTGTTGGAGAAATGCCACAAATTCCATCTGAAATCTGTTAGTGTGGATGTACCGAACCGAGGCCATCTGTAACTTGACACTAATGTCACAGTCTCTCACTAGATTAGGATCCGGAGGACCGTACCTGTAACAAACATCATCAAATCACCTGTATCATTATTGTAACAGTTATGAATACAATTGGATATTAAATGTTTGACTTCAATTTCAATTATGAATGGAGATTATAACAAAAGTTTGAATTAATTATGATTATGAATGGAAAGTAAAAGAAATATCTGAATTCATTTTTAATCATTTTAATTTCTTAAATATTAATACTATGTACAATTATCAGTCCTGATCATATTCAAAGGAGTATATGTACATGCTTATTTATGAATTTTTTTTTTGGAAATAGTAAATGGTTTAAAAATAATTCTTACTTGAATATATCAAACACCAGAGCTTGGTCACCCACTGTGACAAATCTCTCCCGATACAAGTTACCATGAGGGGACTTGTCAATCAGTGACAGATTACCCAGCTGTCCTGAGATTGCCATGCATATTCTCATCTCTCAGGCTGACATTAGCTGACAGCAGGTGGCAGAGGATATTTTTTTTAATGCCAAACATGTGCCGAGGGGGTACACATACACATGCGATCCATAAAAACATGTACATGGGTACAGTTTTCCAGGGGCTAATTAATTACACTTCATATGCCCATGGCTCACAAATTATGTCAACAAATTACATGTAATCTGCCTATTAGAGTGCAAATGTACCAAAAATGCACCTGGGGACTCCCCAAATTTTGGCTTGTTTTTTCAAGATTTGGGCCTCATTCACACCCACACAACCCACACCCAGGCCCGAGCGAGCAGGATAAAACACCCAGTAGTCTGTAAATCAATGCATGCCCTAATAAAAATTCACCAAATGATATGGGGCCATTCACCTTCCCTCCGAGATACACACCTTCTTCTAAGGCCTACTGCTTTTCAGCTGAATTTCCTCTGCAACTGACCACGTGTCTTAGTTTCGCATTTACAACTCTGTATATGATAAGCGTCATAGTGACACCTACATGTTGCATAGACTGGTACCCTGACATTGGTTAACGGGCGCAAGCGCCCTAAAAAACCAACGACAGGTAACCACTGCCATTTTATCGCGTCACAGGAACAACAATGATGATAAAAATCTATATTTAAACTAGCGTAAATCCATAGGTTGTGTCTAAATATCACGAGCCTAGCGTAGTTATGAATATTCATGAGGTATTGATAACGAGAAAAAATATGTCGGTCAGCTCAAACAGATCCGGTATCCGCAATAAAATAAAGAAGAATGAAAACAAACTTTATTATCATTTTTAATAGTTTAATCAACGTTTGAATTGTTGTTTTATATACAAATAAGAAGCAATTCATTATTTTATATCCAAGTTTTTTCCCATACGAATATAATAATGCAAGAAATGACTTTGACATTTTCGCGCGGTTTCTAATCAAAACAAAACCATGCCGGCTGTCAGAAAGTTTAAGAACTACCAAGAAATACAAGCATTTCTTGAAGAGTTAGAAAAAACAACAACAGCAAGATTCATCACACAGAGAATCAGCAATAAACGACACTTTGAACTAGAAGGAGATGGTAAGGAGAAGTATTAACCGATTATAACTACCTATACAATATAATATTACGTAACGATAGATCTGTGTGTGTAAGATTATTAACATTATATTTCGAAGTATGCTGTTCTTTTCCAACAACAGGTACAATTTAATTGAAAACAACAGGTGTAAACTAAATTATTTTGCCAAAATAAAACGATTGAATGAGAATGCAGAAAACGATGGAATTATTACAAAGAGGTATGCATGACATGCATTGAAAAAATATATAATAGGCTAAAAGGCTACCGATAAAAAAAAAATCCACAAAAAACTTTTACACAGATATTAAACCAGTGAGCAAGGCTATTGACCTCACTACCCTAGGCTATTGATACGATCTACTGAGTACTACATGACAGGTAAGAGTCCAGAACCCTAGGCTATTGATACGGTCTACTGAGTACTACATGACAGGTAAGACACCAGTACCCTAGGCTATTGATTTGATGCGGTCTACTGAGTACTACAGGACAGGTAAGACACCAGTACCCTAGGCTATTGATACGGTCTACTGAGTACTACAGGACAGGTAAGAGTCCAGTACCCTAGGCTATTGATACTGTCTACTGAGTACTACACGACAGGTAATAGACCAATACCCTAGGCTATTGATACTGTCTACTGAGTACTACATGACAGGTAAGAGTCCAGTACCCTAGGCTATTGATACGGTCTACTGAGTACTACATGACAGGTAAGAGTCCAGTACCCTAGGCTATTGATACGGTCTACTGAGTACTACATGACAGGTAAGAGTCCAGTACCCTAGGCTATTGATATGGTCTACTGAGTACTACATGACAGGTAAGAGTCCAGTACCCTAGGCTATTGATACGGTCTACTGAGTACTACATGACAGGTAAGACCAGTACCCTAGGCTATTGATACGGTCTACTGAGTACTACATGACAGGTAATAGACCAGTACCCTAGGCTATTGATACAGTCTACTGAGTACTACATGACAGGTAAGAGTCCATTACCCTAGGCTATTGATACGGTCTACTGAGTACTACATGACAGGTAAGACACCAGTACCCTAGGCTATTGATTTGATACGGTCTACTGAGTACTACAGGACAGGTAAGACACCAGTACCCTAGGCTATTGATACGGTCTACTGAGTACTACAGGACAGGTAATAGACCAGTACCCTAGGCTATTGATACGGTCTACTGAGTACTACATGACAGGTAATAGACCAGTACCCTAGGCTATTGATACGGTCTACTGAGTACTACATGACAGGTAAGAGTCCAGTACCCTAGGCCATTGATACCGTCTCCTGAGTACTACATGACAGATAAGACACCAGTACCCTAGGCTATTGATACGGTCTACTGAGTACTACATGACAGGTAATAGACCAGTAACCTAGGCTATTGATACGGTCTACTGAGTACTACATGACAGGTAAGAGTCCATTACCCTAGGCTATTGATACGGTCTACTGAGTAGTACATGACAGGTAATAGACCAGTACCCTAGGCTATTGATACGGTCTACTGAGTACTACATGACAGGTAAGAGTCCATTACCCTAGGCTATTGATACGGTCTACTGAGTACTACATGACAGGTAAGACACCAGTACCCTAGGCTATTGATATGGTCTATGGAGTACTTCCTGTCAATATGACATTTATACCTTAGGCTATTGATACGGTCAATGGAGTACTTCCTGTCAATATGACATTCATACCCTCAGGCTATTGATACGGTCTATGGAGTACTTCCTGTCAATATGACATTCATACCTTAGGCTATTGATACAGTCTATGGAGTACTTCCTGTCAATATGACATTCATACCCTAGGCTATTTATTTGCTATGTGGGGGTACTCGTAGTCAGTGTGACATGACTGGAATGTTTTAAATTCAATTTTTTTTACTATGTTTTGCAATTGCTTTTGCTTTTTAATTATATGAAAAATTATGTGCACATTTTTTTAAAATACTTTTTACAGATGTTACATCTTTAAAGGGTCACAAAATTCTTTGGCAAGATTGTCAAGAAACAGCTAGTCCTTCTGTTGAATTTGATGGCACTCCTTATGTGAACATAGGATGGATGGTAAAAGAATGTCACCATGGACCAGATAGACAGAGGAGAGCAAAGGAAAAGAAGAAACAAAGACATGTAATTTATCTTGCTTTTATTTTAAAGTACTTACAGATATTATTGTATAATCAAGTTGAAATATTTTTTGAAGGGGTGAAATTTTTGTGGCTGAAGGAAAAATAATTGATTCAAGGGAATTTGATTTCTTGGTTGAAGAATTGTGGAGTAATAAACCATTTAAATTTTTTATGAAAATTAATGATCTATCTACATATTATAATTAAATGATATTTGACAATACTTTTTGTTTATTACTAACCTTGATAGAGTACAGTAAAAATAACTGAAATATGTTTTAAAAGTATAAATAACTTGTGATTGAGAGATCTTTACCAATCATGTATTATTGGTCATGACCTTTCTAGAAGTTCACAAAGTACTGCATGAAGATCATAAATTTTCATGATGTCCACTTTTATTTCACTTTATAAGCAAAACAAAATTTGCATGAATTTTGATTTAAGTTGTATGTAATCCATCATAAAAAATAATATACATGAGAAAAAAAAATTCACATATAGAAAGTCTTGCTAAAATGTTTGGATGTTAAAAGTAATTTACTGACAGTATGATCTAAGAACTAATCATTCACAATTATAAGGTAAGTATAACCAATTTAGAGAAAGAAGATAACAACAATACCTCCACCAAATGTTAGGTACTGAACAACCAAATCGAATTCACAAACTTATAATATTGTAAGTGTTTTCATTGATAGAGGCCTGGAGACCATGATTACTCTAATAAAGGAAGAGCACGTAAGAAAATCCAAATGTCTAAAAAGCAAGCTTGTCCAGCAACAATAAGAATTAGAGCCATCATGAAATTCCCTGATTTCAAGGTACATTTATCATTTTTTTCATTAATGTACATGAATTGGGTTGTACTGCTTGGGTCTCTAAATAATTTTTTGGGTCTTTTTTTAAATTAGGTAGATTCATACAACAATAAGTTGATGAAAAGGAAGATATCTAGAAATCTCAAACAAGCTTTCGCAAACAGAGACACAATTCAAAAATCACTTGTTTATTTGGTGTCATATCCAAGTGTCAATGACCACAAAAACCATCTTACTGGAGAGGTAAGTGTTGATGATCAGTCACCAGAATTATAGTTACTTTGTATATTATAATATTTCATTCTCAAAATAAAGTTTCCAAATTTCTTTTTTAATTATTTCAAATAATACAAAATGTGTCCCTTGTAGTTTGCAGGATTCACTCAACGTATTGATCAGAGATTAGTAACCCGCATAAAAGAACTTGTTGCCGATGGGGTGAGAAATGTTTCTGAAATGAAGAGGCACTTACTAATCTCTGTGAAAAATGACTTATGTCCAGATCAGGATATCCCAAGAACAAACAGAAGATTTTTTCCACTGGACAAGGACATTAAAAACCACATGGATATTGCCATTAACAGCTTGAAGTATTGAATTATAAATGTTCCTCTTTTGTACATGTTGTATTTCTTATCTAAAGTAAAGTTGTTAAAACATAACAGTCTTAGAAATATTTATCTTCCATCAAAGCTCAGCTTAAGTAAGAATATATTTTTTTATCATATGGTTTAGAGTTTCACTGGTGCTATTGTAAGTAGTATGTATTCAACTGAATCCCAGATTCTGATGTTAGATAATTATATTGCTTCTAGGTTTTCCAAAGATGACCAGCAGAACCTTGAGTCTTTGGTGGAAAAATGGCAGGAAAGTTATCCTGAGGACAACTTCTTTCTTAGGACGTCGTAAGTTTTTCAAAAGTATCACTGACAAAATAATACATAAGTTTCCATTGTATGTATTGTATTTTTCAAACACACAGGTATGATACCACTACCAATGGTAACATTCCATCAGAGGACTTCCTGTTTGTTCACCAGACCGCCTGGCAGAGACGACTTTTAAGCTTGTATGGGAGAGACATTTGCATCATGGATGCCACATATAGGACCTCAAAGTATGCCCTCCCTCTCTTTTTCATTTGTGTGCAAACTAATGTTGGGCATTCCATATGTGGTTCTTTTGTTGTTTCAACGGAAACTAAAAAGTCAATTGAGGAGGGTTTAAACAAAATTAAGGAATGGAATCCAGGATGGACTCCAAAGTATTTCATGACAGATTATGATGAAAGGGAAATCCATGCAGTTGAGGAAGTATTTGAAGGTAAAAAATATGTACTCTTATTATTCCAAGTAAATTTTGTCACATTGTAAACCAAATAATTTAGCCATTGAAATCCTCTAATATTCTGTTGAATTAATGAAATAGGTTTTTTTTAACAGAATGTACTGTATATCTCTGTTCTTTTCATCGTGAACAATCATGGACACGGTGGTTGAAGCAAATAAAACATGGTGTTGGTTCAAATCAGGATGAGGTTATTGAACTGTAAGTACTTGTACACGTGATGATAATATTGAATTATTATGCTTATTGTCATATTTATTTGTGAGTTTATTTTCTTAAGCATATATTTATTTAATCAAAAGAAAAAAGTTACCATTATTTTCATAGATATTGTAATGCAAAAATCTAAAGAGAATGATTCATGATAGAATTATTGGCAAATGTGTAATGTTATTATTATTTTTGGTTAATATTTTTACAGAATGAGAGGATTAGCTATTGCCGATTCAGAAACAGACTACAAAGTAGCTCTAGACAGGCTAAGAGAAAGTCCTCACTGGCAGAATAATCAACAACTGCAGAGGTGGTTTGAAAAACAGTGGATATCAGTTTCACATGTAAGATTTAAGGAAAAACAGTAGAAACATATTGATTTCAAGGTAACATCTCTATAAAGAAACTGATCATAATGGATGTTAAAACCAACTAAGATAAAAGCATGATATTTCATTGAAAAAAAATGTTGTTGCAAAGTCTTATGAATTCCTTCAGAACTTGTTGTTTTTGCTCTGTTTCCTATTACCCTTCCCTTTTTTATAGTATATTAATATGATTTCAAGGAACAAGTGGAACAAGATTATTTCAAAGATGATGCATCCCACTTTTACATTAGTACTATATGACTCTTCTTATTATAAAAAAGTTCAAAATGTTTGAAAATTATTTTTTTAGAATGATTCGTAGAGCATTATTTTTTTACATTCATCCTCTGTTGAAGGACTTACTTATTGCTTGGCAACAAGCTTTGCTTAAGTTGTTTTTTACCTGCTTTAAATGCCTTTCTTTTCTTCAAATTTAATGCTGATTTTTTTTTTCAGAGATGGGTTAAAGCTTTCAGAGAAAATAATTACAACATTAGAATTACAACAACTAATGGCTTAGAAAGGAAGCATCAGGAATTCAAAAGAGGCTACCTGTCACACTACAGTGAAGGTAGTCTTTGCACCATGATTGCAACATTGGTCTCCAGTTTCTTACCTGACAGTTACAGGAGGTATTTAATTCTTATGTTTTTTTTTCATTCCAACTTTCACCCCCCCCCCCCACCCAAAATCAACAAAAACAAAGAAACAAACAAACAAAAAAGCATTGAATCAACCCCCCCCCCCCAAAAAAAAACCCCAAAATTTTTAATAGTAGTTTTATGCTATATACTGTATAGTTGCAGAATATGAAAGATTTATTGGTTTGGACTTTTTTGCCTTAGTGATGTTTTCACATTGTAGTACATGCATATGGATTAATATACATACTTCTCCGGTTGGATAAGATGTTGAAAAGAGTATACATGTATTTGAAATTAGATGTGGCAATAATACAATTTTATTTTATTTTACAGTTATCTCAATTACAATATTCAGAGTTTTGAGTTTTGCAAGAAGTACTCATCATGTGTTCCAACATTTTTACACAACAAACCTAGGATGCTTGTCGAGCACTGCATCAAAAGAATTCCACCTGAAATTCAAACTATTCCCATAGAAAATATTCAGGAGGTTGAAGACAGGGCCTATGCTGTGCATAGTGTTGACTCCAACAATGTATATCAAGTGATATTTTCGGACATTGAACCCACATGTACCTGTGTTGACTACTCAAGACATCATTTGCCATGTAAGCACATGCTTGCAGTGATGATGTCCTTACCAGAATGCAGCTGGGATAACCTTCCTGATGGATACAAGACCTGTCCACATTTTACTTTAGACCAAAGCATCATACAGCAGTGCGTGGATAGCATTCCTGACAGTCCAAATACATCTCTGCAAGATGACACACCAGACACAGATATTCCACTGAATCAAGACACAGATATTCCACTGAATCAAGGCACATCAAAGGAAAAAAGCCCGGAAAAGTCATGCCAAAAACAGCCAGATAAACCCAAAACACCACTTCATATTCTTCTACAGACTGCTTTAGGTGGACTGAAAGATATACAGTCTGACTTATACCTGATTAATGATTGTCTAGACCTGCAGGAAATTTCTAACAAAATAACAGAACTAAAATTACTCACTGCATCAAAAATAAAGAAAGATTCAGGCTTACCACTCAACAGTACAGACAAATGTAGAAGACCATCTTTAAAAAGAAAATCAGGGAATCTACCATTAAGAAAGAAATACAGGAAATTAAATGAAAAACATTGTGTCCAGTTTGCAGAAGAGGATGATGTTATAATTATTGATGGGACATATGACATGCCCAGCAACCAACATAGGAACCATGAGAATGACACCGTTGCTACCGAACAAAGCATGGCCTATCAAAACAAAGGAAGTCCAGTCATTGATGTAGACACTCTTTGGAGGATCAAACCATCAGATTATTTAGTTGCAAGAATTGGCAGTTTTAAAATCACAGACACTTCAATTGGGTATTTAAAGACTTCTCTATCCGATGAGGTATATTTTTTTTCAAATTTAAGTTTTCCCTCTTTTTTCTGATTAAATCAATTTATAGTAAAACAATTGTATAATGCACAAAATGCATTTTTAGGTAATAGATGCATACTTACATCTTCTAACAGAGACAAAGAAGGTAAATCTTTAGAATTAGCTGTGTTTTATGTTAATAATCTCTTATAGTTTTTAAATGCTTGTTTTATTTAGTACATGTATTTGGAATTTGTTTGATGTATTGTTAATTATTGTCTGCATATTTTAATTTTGCTTATTTGGAATAATATCACAGAATAAGAAGCTTTTAGCCATTGATTCATCAGTTGCAACACCCATATTTCAAGGAATATCAGAAAATTTTCATGGGTACATGACACAGGTAACTCTTTCTCTCTCTCTCTCTGATAATGTGTGCCTGTGTATGCATAAAAAAATAAAAATGTCTTTTAATGAAAACATTGAGTATTATTTAGAAAATTTATAATTGATCTAAATAAAGCATTAACTTAGTAATGCTAATCAATTGATGTTTTTCTTAAATTTCATTTGGGACATACAGACAAAATTCTCCAGTTATGACATGATTCTTGCTGCTGTCAATGAAAACAACAGCCACTGGACACTTATAGTTTGTATACTTTTTAAAACTAGTAAATCTCAATTTAAACTTGATCTATGAGTAACTTGTCAGTTGTATACATGTTTAACTCTATTAAATTGGACATTAAGTTCTTGTATATCTGATAAGTACCTTTGTTATATTTTTTCAAGGATTATACATGTGTAAGAAAAAGGGTTTGGTTTAACTTACTTTCAAGATATGTTTTGCTTTTTGCAAGGTCATTTATATTGATGCCATGTTTGATGACTGTGACCAAACCTTCCCTCCAACAATTTAAAGAAAATACTAAGTCATTGAAATTCTCATAAAATCCAAATAAGTATCTGTACATGTTTCTGTCTTTCCACATTCAGGTGGTATATCCAAGTACGAAGAAACTGGTTTACATTAATCCACTTGGTGAATTAAAGAGAACTATGAAAGATATTGGAGATGATTGCAATACTGTAAATTACTTTATATTCAAGAGCACATTATCTAGCGTAGTTAGACAATGTGCTCGCGAAAATATCATTCTCGCATATATAAGTATTGGTAGAGATTATATTAATCAGTAACCAGAATATGTGAAAATTTTGTCTCACTAATAAAAAGTAAATGTCTATCTCGCAAAAATAAGGTGTCGTGAAAATTTAGTGCTCTACAGTAGTTTTAATGATTGCTACATTCTATTAAATACTGCATTGTATGGCTGTTGGTTTTTATATTTTTGTTTAGAGAATTCCTACTTGGTAGAGTGAGAAGAGGTGTGAATGAAATTTCAGAGGATGGCTGGAAAGTGGAAACAATAAAACATACAAAGCAGTATGATTCTAATTCCTGTGGAGTGTATGTTGTAAAGGTGAAAAATATTCACTAGATCTAAACTCTTCATTCTCTAATGCCTATCTATCTGCCTGGTGATGTTTTGATTAAATGAAAAAAAAAAGATATGTTAAAATTCCTGCAGTCAATAATTTTTTATTGGAAATCACTTATTACCCTTTTATCATATATTCACTGTTAAATTTTGCATTTTAGTTTGCTGAGCTGATCATATCTGATTTGCCTCTAACATTTAGTTGTCGTCCAGATAATCTATATCAAATTAGACGAGGAATTGGGAACCAGCTTTTGCAAGCAACAGGTAATTGATAGAATCTCCTGTGTAGATCCAGAAATATTTTTTAATATGAAGGGGAGGCTGGTCCACAGCCTTTCCAAAAAATAAAAAATAAAAATTGAACTCGAATTTTTTGAAAAGCAAAAAAAAAAAAAAGAAGAAAATCCACAAAACAAAATGACCAAAGAAAGGGGAAAAAAACAACAAAAAAACAATTTAAAAAAAACGAACACATCTTCATTTGGGGTTTGCTTCATTGTCCATGCATGTACTTGTGTAAGCTATATTACTTACCAGGCTCCATTTTCCCAATGAAAATGGGGGAGCAGTTCCTAGGTCATTTTTGTAATAAATCTTAAAATCTTTTATGAATTTTTTTTGGTCCCAGAAAGGGAGGGTTTGGACCCCATTGACTCCCTTCTGTATCCACCCACTAAAATATCTAAATAGGAGTTTAAAAA